ATATATACATATATATATATATATATATATATATATATATATGTATGTATTATATGGAATATCGTTTGAATAACCAAAGGTGATCTTCAATATTGTGTTGTGGTCTATGTGTTGATATGGTCCTCATGTTCCAACAGGTTTGGTGGCCAACAATGCATCTCCGACAGCAGCAACGTTTAGTTTTAAAGTGGATTCTGGTGTTGCCCAAAATACCAATGCACCTGCCGCTGCGGCCAGTACTACTGCAAGTTTCACGGGGTTTGGTGCAAAACCCACCAGTACTGTTGGATTTGGTAGCACAGCTGCACCGTCAGCATCTTCATTTTCCTTCGCAGGACCGGCCGCTTCCACTGCTGGTACATCTGTGTTTGGTTCATCCTCTGCTCCTAGCAATGTTGCAAATTCGAACACAAGTGTTTTTTCAGGTTTTGGTGGATCTGCTGCTCATGGATTTGGGGGAGCACCTACCACATTGGGAGCACCTGCTTTTGGTGGAAATGCGAGTGCGTCCACGGCCTCTGTTTCAGCTTCTGGCTTCGGAAGCAGTACCACCGCAGTTTCTGATCTCTTTAAATCTGGTGCAGTGGGCTCTACCTCCATATTTGGGCAACCATCTTTATTTTCAGCTAGTAGTACAGCAATTAACCCACCACCTGCAGCTTCTATATCTAACAGCAGCACAAGTGAAACCTTATTTACACCACGGACTGAGCTCTCTGCTGAGGACATTGTGCAATTTGAAGCAAAGAAGTTTACTTTAGGAAAGATTCCTTTACCACCACCTTCAGCTGATCTTTTAGTTGTTTAATATAACATTTGGAATAACACTCATCTGTGTCTCTTGGATCACTTTGAATGCTGCTTCTTTATATACCATTCAACTCCATGCAACCTCACATTGCTTCAGGTTATTTTTTTCCTTCTTAATGTTTTAAGATTTTATCATCAGCCTTGTATATGAGTACAGCAATTTAGTCATACATTTTTGGCCGTGTTGAATATGTTTTAAAGGTAATTTCATTGAATTTAAAGCCCCAATAAAAGTGCTCTCTAATCTTGCAGACGTTGCTGCTTTGGCCCAAATATTGTATTCGTATTGAGTGAATAAATGCCATAGATTTTCTCATTATGTCTTACATTGCAACTGAGCACCAGCAATCATCTCACAGTATTAGACATTTTCTTTTTTTTTTTTCTTTTTTTTTATATAATTTTTCATTTTTATTATTGTAACTAGCTGCTTACTGTTTTAACTCTAACAACCCTATTCATTCTTTTTCAAATATATGTATTTTTCTAATATAGATTGTGTTTGGAGTGTTTAATTTAAGGATTTATGAATTCCTGTCGTACAATTACTAGGTGTGGTACTAAGAGGTTATGAATTTATGATCTGTTAAGAAATCCTGCCATAGTGGTAGTAATGATCCTCTGCCACAGTCCTTTCAATAATAATTTGTGTGCTCTGTATTTTTTTTATGCCTTGAAAAGTATGACAGAAAAACATGTATACACTTTTTCAAAATGTGTTTTCAGAACTTCTGTTCATACTTCTCTTAATACGAAACTGTCCCTTCCATAGACATGGCAACTTTGACTGGGAGTGAATAACAGAGCAGAGTTAAGTAAAACACTTAAAAACCTCCATTGACTTCCTTTTTCACTTTCTTATGATGCCTTGGAAATCTAACCGAGAATTGCCATATTCTTGCAGTATGATTCACCAAGCAATGCATGTAAATTAAATAAATTAGAAACATATTTTCAATAAAAAAAACACAACCAATAGAATGTAATTCTTTATGCAATACTCTGATGCGTGATGGTGTTTTTATACATGAATATTTATATATATATTTTTTTGGGGGGTGGGGGGAAGAGAGAAGGGCATTTAAATAAAGCTGTATTTTTTTTTCTACATTGCATCTAAATCATTGCCACTGTGCACCTTTTTAAAGTTAAAATGAAAAGAAGCAGGGTAGGCTAATCTGTAACAAACATGTTAAAGCAGGAAACCTTAGTGAAATTAGAGTTGAAACAAGAAAGTACTTAATGTCATCTGGTTCTTAAAAAAAACTGTGTTATTTCTTTAAAGAATTTTATTAAACACTTTCCACACTAATTGTGGATATACTGTGCAGTGAAATATGTTGGTATATTGTTTTCAACCTGTGTGCCACAAACAACCTCAAACTTTGCTACCGATACATTGGTTTCATGGCCGTAATAAGTTAAATCCAGGCACCAACTTAATTTTAATGCATTTGATAGGTGTTGACTTTTATTACCATGCTATTATTTTTTGCTCAGCCACTGACAGCATTGCATAAGCTTGAAGCCAAGCAGCCTGCATTAGATGATACTTGGGCAATACACAGACATATATTGATTTACTTAAGGTTTCCCTGGCTGTCTTCAGTGTGGTTGTGGATTAAATGCAGTAATTTTATTGTATTTGCAAAATGACCCTGAAGTTGGGTCTTTTATGCTAAACAATGCTGCTCACCTAGCTTCCTTCCTCTGTCTCCACAGTAGGAGTAGTTAGGCGGTCAGTACCTACTTTTCTTCTTAATGAGCAGCAAGTGGATAGATGAATCCTATCTCATAGAGTTAATAAATCTCATCTTCTGTAGGGTAAGATTCATTTAAAACTATACTTTTCAAGCAGTGGCAGGCTTATGGAATATACGATATCTTGAACCTAAATCAATATAATTTTAACAAAAAAATACAAATGTACAGGTGAGCACCGCAATAAGTAGCATTTTGGTAGCGTGCAAAAGACCACTACAGAAGGTGACAAAACAATATTTGGAACATAAGTGATGACGGGTAACATTACAGAAACTGCACTGGTATAATAGTCAAGGTAAGTTTTAAGAAAAGCCATTTTTGCATGTTAATTCTGTACAGAGAATAACCTTTTAGAATTCTGGAATAAAATCTTGATTTTAGATAGTGATTAAATTATATTAATTTCTACATACTGCCTTAAAGTGAACCTATTGAACATTTTAAAACTTTTTTCCTAAATGAGATTAATGAAATGCAGAAATTAAGGTGTTTATTTTTTTTTTTTTAAATTTTCTTTTATATTGAACTTAAAGTTTTCTAGATACTAACCATAATCATAAGCTGCCATTAGTCCACCTTCATAAGTGTCCTCTTTGTTTTACCTTCCTCTCTTTGGGAAAGTCTCTGATGGCTTTACCAATGCCTGGCACAGTCCTCCCTGAGGACGTTAATGTGCTGGCTTCCTTGCCAGTATATCAGCCATTGAACTTGCAAGTGGAGGTTGTGCGCAAGTAGATAAAATATGTTTACTAACAAATCTCCTACACACTATATACACAGTGTTCAAGACCGTGCCTATTTCAAAGTTTTGCCAGTGGCAAGGGTGGTTCTAGCATGGGAAACGGTATCACGGGTGGGGTACTGAGCAACAGAACATTGCTGCACACCCCTCTTATTACGCATGAAGTATGGTGGGATTGCACATACATGTTGCTGTGCAGCATGCGCTTGTTTTCCAGCTATGCTTTCATTTAAATCCAGGAGAACATCAGTAGCACGCCGTTCACAAGTAAAGAGAACGTAACATAGATGTATGTGTCACGAAATATGCCCACCTCTCAGTGCAAAAGTTGCCAAGTTTTGGTTTGGACTGAAGCCCCAGGTGTTTCTGAAACTTAGCAACGTTTCTCCTTGATACTATAACATGCAAGGTTCTCATCATTTTTTACTAGTTGTGAGATATGCTATGGGGCAATATGTTTTTAAATTTTGTTTAAAAATAATAAAAAAAAATATATATATGCCTGGAGTGACCTTTTATTCTAATATACTTCTTATGTCTCACTCTCTGTTTCAAAGATAACATCAATGTGTTTGTTGTAAAATAAGCTTGTTGGGTCTTGTTTTCAATCACAATAATCACAAAGATGCCTTGCTAGGCGGTATTTTTTTCTGTCTCCTGGAATGAGAATCATATGATGCACTGGCTGCCCTCACTGTCATGTGCTTAATATTATTGAGTTATTTGTAATCACACACATCATGCCCCGTTCAGACTTGGGTTTGCGTGCTAACCACTTAATGCAAGCCATTTAGAGTTTCTTCACAAATGTTCTATTTAGCAATTAAACAATGTACAGTAATATGTACCACATGCAAGTTTTATGGCTTTTTATATGCTGTTACTGGTTTCAAAGAACCTGAGTTTCAAAACTCAACAAACATTGAAATAAGCTGCAGTACTTCCTAGGGGCCACATTCAGCTTATTGAAGTGGTCTAAGTGCAGTGTCCCAGGTCCCTTAACCCTGCAAAGGTAATTATTGCAGTTTTTAAGAAACGGCAATTACCTTTGTGGGTTAACTCCACCTCTAGGGGCTGTCTACCAGACAGCCACTAGAGGGACCTCCAGCGTCATCCGAAACTCCATAGGAAAGCATTGTATAATCCTTTCCTGTGGGGAAAGTTCTAATGGGAGCGAGGCCATTGCCGCGCATGCTCATTAGGTCTCCCCTGCCGGTTGACATCTGTGGGGGAGGAGCGGAGCCCAAGCCAGCACCGAGGGACATTGGCTCTGGACTCCAGTAAATGACAGAAGTGGTTTTTAACCCTCTATTAAACTGCAGATGTTAAATT